GCGGCCCCCCGCCGCTCACCACGCTTGGAGACCCCTCCGGGTTTTCCACCTCGACCGTCTTCGCCGCCTCTGCAGCCGGTTGCTGTCGACTCTGGTGCTGCTGGTGGTGCTGAGCCTGGGGGTGCTGAGTCTGAGGGTGCGGAGCCTGGGGGTGCTGAGCTTGAGGGTGCGGAGCCTGGGGGTGCTGAGCCTGAGGGTGCGGAGCATTGGGGTGCTGAGCTTGAGGGTGCGGAGCCTGGGGGTGCTGAGCCTGAGAGTGCGGAGCTTGGGGGTGCCGAGCCAGAGGGTACTGAGTCTGGGGGTGCTGAGCCTAGGGGTACTGTGTCTGTTGGAGGTCCTACGGTTGCCTCACCACAGCAGTCTCACCGGCGGGAGCCTCTCTCACCACAGCAGCTGCGCGAGTGGTTTGCTCAGCGCACCCGCCTTCGGAGTGGCGCTGCTGGACGCTGGAGGCGCTGACTCAGTGCTTCGCCTATTCGCACTATTCGCACTAGGCGCTGACTGAGCAGACAGACTCACTTACAGAGCGTCGTAAGCATGCGACTCGTCCTGCCTCGCCTATTCGCACTATTCGCATTTGCCGCCGTGTTCCTCGTCCGCGTCCTCCTCCATTCCTCAGCACTCACATTATGGCACTTCGTCCTTCCTCTGGTCCATAGCGTGTCCCCCTGCCGTCTCCACTTGCGTCCTCTCTTCCGCACATTCCGGACCCTGAGTCCGACTTGGTTCGTGCTACCAGCCCTACTGTCATACGTCTCACAGCCACTGTTGTCACAGACCCTTAGTTTGAGTCCACTACAGGGTCTGCCTTAGTTGTTCAGCTTTTGGACATTGCTGCTGCTTGTCGTCTCGACTACGCCGCTAGTCTTGTTGCTGAGTCTGAGTCTGACTGTCCTCCGTTCGTCAAGGGTGAGTGTGCTCTTGGCACGGACGTCCTTGAGGACAAGCAGGAGGACTTTGAGTGTCTTGCGGCTGCTATACATCATCTCGTGGCCATGCTGCTTGCACCTGAGGGAGACTCGGATGCACTGGACATCCCGACCCCGCGCTCTTACGCAGAGGCGATTACGGGTCCCTACTCCTCTCACTGGCAGACAGCCATGGACGCAGAGATGGCATCCTGGAAGTCCACAGTCACTTTCGTTGACGCAGTTCCCCCTCCTGAGGCGAGCATAGTCAATGGTATGTGGATTTTCAGGGAGAAGCGCCGCCGGGTTCTCCGCCTGTCTTCAAGGCTTGTTACGTTGCACGAGGCTTTAGTCAGCGACAGGGAGTTGACTTCTTCCAGACCTTCTCCCCTACCCTGAAGATGACCACCCTTTGGGTGCTACTACATGTTGCCGCTCAGCGTGACTACGAGCTTCACTCGCTTAACTTCAACACAACTTTCTTACAGGGCTGCCTACATGAGGAGATCTGGCTGCGCCGCCCACCTGGCTTCACTGGGTCGTTTCCTGCAGGTACCCAGTGGAGCCTCCGGCGGCCGGTCTACGGTCTCCGCCAGGCGCCTTGTGAGTGGCACGACACACTGAGGATGACACTTGCGGCTCTTAGGTTTGCTCCTTCGACTGCTGACCCGTCGCTGTTTCTGCGCACCGACACTTCACTACCGCCGTTCTACATCCTCGTGTACGTCGACGACCTGGTCTTTGCCACTGCTGACACTGAGGCACTGGCTCTTGTGAAGTCGGAGCTGCAGAAGAGACACACGTGCATAGACCTGGGTGAGCTGCGCAGCTATCTTGGCTTGCCGGGACAGAGCACAGCGCACCATCACCCTGACTCAGTCACACATGGTGCAGCAGGTCCTTTAGCGCTTCGGCTTCCAGTTCTCCTCGGCACAGCCCTTTGCCTACTGGTCACTCGCTCTCAGCTCCACCTTTGGACGAGTCCGTAGAGCGGAGTGGCCCGTATCCAGATGACCTGCACTCGTCCTGACCTTGCGTACCCTCTTAGCATCTTGGCTCGCTACGTGGCTCCCGGTAGACACCGAAAGGTGCACTGGGATGCTGCGAAGAGGGTGTCAAACTATATGCATATGTTATAATTATATGTAGGCTGTAGTGGGGTAGCCAATGTAGGGTATAGGGTTTGTTACTTCTACCCAACTCTCTCGATAGTCAAAACACCTTTCCTTCCCTTTACTCTCAACATGGTATTAAGAGCAAATAGGTCCTTAGGACCGTTTTAGGACTGTTTTTCAGGGCCCACCAACCGCTTATGCCGGTTACCGCGTTACCCTGCGCCCTGCCTACACTGCCCTGAGTCGCGCAGCCCCGTGCTCGCCTCTTCTGGCCCGCGCGCAGCCCGCTAGCAACCCGCCCGCTGCCTCGTCAGCCCCGCGCGTCGCTCGCCCGCTGCCTCGTCAGCCCCGCGCGCCGCCCCGCAGCCCTCGCGCTGCCTTCTACTGCCCCGCGAGCCGCCCCGCAGCCCTCGCGCTGCCTTTTCTGCCCCGCGCGCCCGCCCGGCAGCCCTCGCGCTGCCCCTACTGCCCCGCGAGCCGCCCGCGCAGCCCGCCTGCTGCCTCGTCAGCCTCGCGCGCGGCCCGCGCAGCCCGCCCGCTGCCTAGTCAGCCCCGCGCGCTGCCCTCCCGTTGCCTTAGCAGCCCTCGTGCTGCCTCTCCTGCTCCGTGCGCACCACTCCTCCGCCCTTGCCGCTCCTCCCCTGTCTCTGCAGCTTCGCGCACCGCCCCTGCCGCCCTCACACAGCCTTTGCCGTTCGCGTGCTGCCTCTACTGTCGTGCTGCAGTGACCATGGCTTCTATTAGCGTACTGTCGTTCGACCCTGAGGGTCACCTGGTCGAGTTCGATGCCTGGCTCGAAGATCTTCAGCTGTATCTTATGACTGATGCCAAGGACGGCGTTTCGCTCTTTGACTTAGCCAAAGGTTCCTCTGTCGCTCCAGACACAGCTGACAGTGTCGCACACTCTCAATGGCTTACCCGCGACGCTACTGCACGCCTAGCTATTCGCAACCACTTGCCTTTAGCCGAGCGCACCCACTTCGGTCAGCACAAAACCGCTAAAGCACTGTACGCTGATGTCATCGCTCACTACTCTTCTCTTGCTACTGCTGCCCTCAACCGCCTCATCCTCCCTTACCTGTTTCCTGAGCTCGCCTCCTTTCACACAGTTGAGGACCTTATCACACATCTCCGCGCTAGTGACGTGCGTTATCGCGCCGCCCTCCCGACCGAGTTCTTAGACGAGAACCCTCCCCCAATGTACATCACACTCTATTTCATCGTCACCCGACTCCCGGACTCTCTTCGTGTAGTCAGGGACCACTTCCTAGCCCTCCCCCCCACCGACCTCACAGTTGACGACCTCGAGAAGCATCTGCTTGCAGCTGAGTCCAACATCCTAGCTGTCGGTGCTGCTCGTTGTAGGAAATTAGAGACAGGAATGAATTGACTAGATCAGAGTTTGGTACAAATATGAAACCCTAACAGGGTTGTACCCCATATTGGCTACCCCACTACAGCCTACACATATATAACATGCATATAATTTGACACACCCCCATAGGCAAAGTGGGGGAGAGCAAGGGGTCACAAGACCAGTCAAGAAAATCAAAGCAAGCTCAGGGTGGATCACAACGTCACCACACACACCGAGCACAAGCAAAGGGCCACACGGCCAGTTCACATGCAGAGGTATATATGCAACAATAGCATCACAGTGATCACTACCTAGCAAGAGCAAGCATGCAGGTATATATATAGAGATCACAGTACAAGCAAAGCCTACAGCAAGTGTGGAAACGTAGGCACAAGGCCCAACAAAGTACAAAAGCGCTGATGATCACCAGACGGAAGTGCCTTGGTGAATATATCAGCAGTGTTGGCCCGAGTGGCCACGTGAGCAAGGCGAAGCTGACCACGCTGCTGCAACTCTCGAGCCAGGAAGTAACGCAGAGCGATGTGCTTCGTTCTGTGCTCCAGTCTGTGCTCCTGACACAAGGCAATGGCGGCCTTATTGTCGACGTACAGAACTGGAGGAGAACGAGGCCTCTCTCCCAAGTCGGTCAGCAAGTAGGTGAGCCAGCGTAACTCCTGTGCAGCCATGGCTGTGGCGTAGATCTCAGCCTCACAACTGGAGTAGACAACAGACGAAGAGCGAGTAGACCGCCAAGAAACAGAGCCGGAGCCAAGGCTGAAAGTGTAACCCTGTGACGACCGCTGCGTAGCCAGGTCGTCGACCCAAGAAGCGTCTGAGTGCCTAGTGAGGACAACTGGACTCCGCCCTCCAAGCACGAGCCCCATGCCCGATGTACTGCACAAGTAGCGCAACACCCTCTTGGCAGCATCCATGTGCACCTTTCGGTGCCGACCAGGAGCCACGTAGCGAGCCAGAAGGCCAAGAGGGTACGCAAGGTCAGGACGAGTGCAGGTCATCAGGTACATGAGGCAGCCCACTAGCTCTGGGTAAGGACCACTCGGCTCTACAGACTCGTCCGAAGGTGGAGCTGAGAGCAAGTGACCTGTAGCCAGAGGAGTGGACTGTGGCGAGGACCAGGTGAAGCCGAAGCGCTGAAGGACCTGCTGCACCATGTGTGACTGAGTCAGTGTGATGGTGCGGCGTGCTCGGTCCCGGGTGATCTGCAAGCCAAGGTAACTGCGCAGCTCACCCAGGTTTGTGCACGTGTGTCTCTTCTGCAGCTCCAACTTCACCAGGGCGAGAGCCTCAGTGTCAGCAGTGGCAAAGACCAAGTCGTCGACGTACACAAGGATGTAGAACGGCGGCAGCGAAGTGTCAGTGCGCAGAAACAGTGACGGGTCAGCTGTCGAAGGAGCAAACCCAAGAGCCGCAATTGTAGTCCTCAGTGTGTCGTGCCACTCACGAGGCGCCTGGCGGAGACCGTAGACTGGCCGGCGGAGGCTCCACTAGGTACCAGGAGGAAACGACCCAGTGAAGCCAGGTGGGCGGCGCAGCCAGATCTCCTCGTGCAGGCTCCCCCGTAAGAAGGCTGTGCTGAAGTCCAGAGAGTGAAGCTCGTAGTCACGCTGAGCGGCAACGTGCAGCAGCACCCGAAGAGCGGTCATCTTCGGGGTGGGGGAGAAGGTCTGGAAGAAGTCAACTCCCTCACGCTGACTGAAGCCTCTAGCAACGTAACAAGCCTTGAAGACAGGAGGAGAACCCGGCGGCCGCTTCACCCTGAAAATCCACATGCCATCGACGATGTTCGCCCCAGGAGGGGGAACCTCATCGACGTAAGTGCGCGTGGACTTCCAGAATGCCATCTCTGCGTCCATGGCTGTCTGCCACTGAGAGGAGTAGGGGCCCGCGATCGCCTCAGCGTAAGATCGCGGGGTCGGGATGTCTGGTGCATCCGGGTCTCCCTCAGGGGCAAGCAGCATGGCCACGAGATGAGGCGCAGCGGCTGCAAGACACTCAAGGTCATCGTGCGTATCCTCAAGGACGTCCGTGCCAAAAGCACACTCACCCCCGACGGACGGAGGACAGACAGACTCAGACTCAGCAACAAGACTAGTGGCGTAGTCTAAACATACGACAGGCAGCAGCAAAGTCAACAAGCTCAGCAACCAAGGCAGACGCAGCAGCAGACTCAAACGACGGGTCAGTGACAACAGTGGCTAACAGACGCGTGACAGTAGGGTGTGCAGCACGAAACTGGTCAGACTCAGGGTCCGCAACGTCAGGCAGAGAGGACGCAGGGGGAGACGGCAGAGGAACACGCTGCGGAGCAGAGGAAGGACGAAGGGCTAGGAGGTGCGCGCCGGGGACAACCGGCGGACGCTGACGAGGAACACGACGACCGGTACGACCAGAACGAACAGGCGAGACAAGACGCGACGCAGGCTCACGACGCTCAGAAAGACCCCCTATCTGCTCAATGTAAGGAGAAGGAGCAGGCAGCGGTGAGCCAAGCTGTAACGGAAGACCAGTAGAAGACGGGAGACTAAGAACCTGGCGAAGCACAGAGTCAGGCGGTGGCTGAGACGACGGAGACGGCGGAGCGAAGAACAGTCTCGGCTGTGTAGTGCCACCAGCACCGGCAGCTCCAGCACCTCCAGCAGCTCCAGCACCCCCAGCGCTAGCGCCTCCAGGACCAGCTCCACCAGCAGTAGCACCCCCAGAACCGGCACCTCTAGTTCCAGGGTCTCCAGCCTCAGTGTCTCTAGCAGCAGCACCCCCAGAACCGGCACCTCCAGTCCCAGGGTCTCTAGCCTCAGTGTCTCCAGCAGAAGTACCTCCAGACAGGCTCAGCACCTCCAGCCCCAGCAGCTCTAGTACCTCCAGTACGAGCACCTCCGGGACCAGCGACTCCAGCACCTCCAGTAGACAAAGTACCAGCACCACTCCCAGCTCCAGCGACGGCAGTAGAAGCACCTCCAGCGGCAGAGCCCCGAGCTCCAGCAGCGCGACCCTGACGGCGACCGTACCACTCGTGCAGCTGCTGTGATGAAGTGAGAGGCACACGCGGACGAAGGCGGCCACTCCAAGGAGACCGCGCACCAGCAGTCTCAGTACCCTCAGGCGCCGCACCCCCAGACTCAGCACCCCCAGGCTCCTCACGCTCAGGCTCAGCACCCCCAGACGCAGCACCCCCAGGCGCAGTACCTCCAGGCTCCTCACGCTCAGGCTCAGCACCTCCAGGCTCAGCACCCTCAGGCCCCTCACGCACAGGCTCAGCACCCTCAGACTCCGCACCCCCAGGCTCAGCACCTCCAGGCTCCTCACGCTCAGGCACAGCACCCCCAGACTCCGCACCCCCAGGCTCAGCACCCCCAGGCTCCTCTCGCTCAGGCTCCGTACCCCCAGGCTCAGCACCCCCAGAGACAGCACCCCGAGCAGGACCACCCCCAGCAGGACCTGAGTCACCAATGACCTCAACAGGCACAGGCACAGGAGGGTCTCCCGAGAAACACCTGAAGGAGCAGGACCTGGCGCGGGGAGGGGGTCTACCTGGGGAGGACCTGGAGCGAGAAAGAGCGGCGGGGGGGGGCGAGGGGCAGTGCGGTAGGGAAACAAACAGTAAAAGGGGACTGACTCGTCAAAGGTGACGTCCTGAGACGCAAAAATACGGCGCGAGGCGGGGTCGTAAAACTGCCAGCCAGGCGCGTCAGGAGGAAAACCAAGGAAGACGCAGGGAATGGCGCGGGCGGAGAGCTTGTCCGCGGTGGTATCGCGGACAAAGGCACGAGCACCCCAGACCCGGAAACGCGATGCATCGCCAACCTCCCCCGTCCACAGCAGTGTGGGCGAGGTCTCCGGCAAGGAGACACGGGGCTAGAGGTTGAGCTGATGCGCGGCGTACCGGACCGCAAACGGCCACAGAAAATGGGGAGTCGCCGCATGGATCATGGAGGTACGAGCGACCTCCATGACTAAGCCAATGCGGCGCTCAGCAACCCCATTCTGCTGCGGAGAGGCCGGAAGCGTGAACGACTGGCGGATGCCGTGCTCCTCACAGAAGGCTCACAAGAGGTCGGAGGAGAACTCACCACATCTGTCAGAGTGCAGACGCAGGACAGGAAAGTCCGACTCGAACCGCTCGCGGAGCTGGAGATGAACAGCGCGGATCCAAGGGATCAGAACAGCAGGGACATCCCCCTTGCGCTGCAAGGGGAAGACCGTGGTGTAACGCGTGTAGTCGTCGACAACCAGTAGGAAGTACCGCTCGCGGCCCTGCCCCTGGACGCGGGCTGGGCCCCACACGTCCAGGTGGAGAGTCTGCAGCGGAGCCTCTGTGGGAGGGAACGAGGAGGAGTGAGGAGCGGCGCGCTGCCGCCCCTCGACGCAAGGAATGCAGGGCGGCGCAGGTGAGGGAGGGAGGGAGAGCAGAGACCTGGGAAGACCAGAGACCAGGGAGCGAGAGTGCATGCCACGAAGGCGGGGCAGGGAGGGGTGACCAAGGCGGTGGTGCCACAGGAGAGTGTCGTGCGACAGGCGGCGACATTCACATTGGGTAGCTACCTGAGCAGACGCGTACAGCTGGGGAGACAAAGGGGTGTAGCGTGAAACAGTGGTGAGGGTGTACAGACTGGACCCAGGCTCACGAGTGAACGTGGCCAGGTGGCGGCCAGTCTTAGAGCACGTGAGGATTGCCACACACTGTCCTCCAAGAGTCCAGGTGTCAACCCAATGATCCTGAAGGACGGCGTTGCTCACCAGGTTCGTAGAGAACGAGGGGATGTGGAGACCTGACAGCTCACCAGACGGGACCGCCGGGCACGGAAGCACAGTCGTGGCTCGTGCAAGCACTGGGCCCCCAGAGGGGTCAGCCAGTGAGACAGGGACAGGTGCAGGGAGGAGAGTGATTGTGGTGCTGTCGCGAAAGAAACAGCGAGAAGCACCAAATTCAAGTGTAAACGTGTGCAAGGCCTGAGCCGACGCAGTACCAGGGAGAGCAGACTCACTAGCACCTAGGGCTGCAGCCTCTATACCTGGATCAGGCGGCATACACAAGTAGCAGTCACCCTCAGCACTAACAGTCAATGCATACATGGCAGCAAGAATTGCATCATAGTCAAGATCAAAGATAGGAACATCGCGCCTAAGCAACTCTGCCTAGTTGGGGAACTCAGTAGCATCAGGAAACTTGGCACAAATATGAAACCCTAACGGGGTTGTACCCCATATTGGCTACCCCACTACAGCCTACACATATATAACATGCATATGATTTGACACTCGTGGCACTCCCTGCACTCCCCTCTTTGAGGGATGTGCCCCCTCCCCCCTTGCCCCCTCTTACGCCTCTTCTGCTGCTGCTGTTGACTTCCTTGGTGCTGAGGAGGTCGGTGCCGCTTCTACTTCTGCATAGTGGGAAGCGCCGCAGCGGCAAGGGCAAGGGAGGCAAGGGTGGCAACGGCGGCAGCGGAGGAGGTGGTGGTGGAGGCTGCGGCGGTGGGGGTGGTGGTGGTGGGGGTGGTGGCGGGGGTGGAGGGGTCGGTGGCAGCAGTGGCAGCAGCGGTGCGCGTGGTGGTGGTGGTGGAGGAGGCGGGGGTGGGAGCGGTAGCAGTGGCGGCGGCAGCGGCGGTACTGATGGCCGTGGGAGCGGTGGTACCAGCGGTGGTGGCAGCGGTGGTGGCGGCCGTGGTGGAGCTGGTCAGCGGGGAGGTGCTGGTGGTGGCCAGCACCAGCAGGAGCAGCGTCAGCCCGAGCCCCGCACGCGCCAGCAGCTTCGTGAGTGGTACGCTCAGCGTGGGGCGTCTGGGGGTAGTGGTCGCTGCCCTTACCGCATTCGCAATGGTGGATGCGCTGGTCAGACGTGCAACAAGTTTCACACCGAGTACCGCTGCTCCTCTAGGCTTGACGACGTCTGGCGTGCCCAGTTTCCTGATGCTACTGAGCTTCCCTACTGGGCAGAATTGCTTAGGCGTGATGTTCCTATCTTTGATCTTGACTATGATGCAATTCTTGTTGCCATGTATGCATTGACTGTTAGTGCTGAGGGTGACTGCTACTTGTGTATGCCGCCTGACCCAGGTATAGAGGCTGCAGCTCTAGGTGCTAGTGAGTCTGCTCTCCCTGGTACTGCGTCGACTCAGGCCTTGCGTACCTTTACACTTGACTCTGGTGCTTCCCGCTGTTTCTTTCGCGACAGTACCACAGTCACTCCCCTCCCTGCACCTGTCCCTGTCTCACTGGCTGACCCCTCTGGGGGCCCAGTGCTTGCACGGTCCACTACTGTGCTTCCGTGCCCGACCGTCCCGTCTGATGAGTTGTCATGTCTCCACATCCCCTCGTTCTCTACGAACCTGGTGAGCACCGCCGTCCTTCAGGATCACTGGGTTGACACCTTTACTCCTGGAGGACAGCGTGTGACGATCTGCACGTGCTCTCGGACCGGCCGCCACCTGGCCACGTTCACACGTGCGCCTGGGTCCAGTCTGTACACCCTCACCACTGTGTCGCGCTACGCCCCTTTGTCTCCTCAGCTGTACGCGTCTGCCCAGGTAGCTACCCAGTGTGAGTGTCGCCGCCTGTCGCACCAGACTCTCCTGTGGCACCACCGCCTTGGTCACCCCTCCCTGCCCCGCCTTCGTGGCATGCACTCTCGCTCCCTGGTCTCTGGTCTTCCCAGGACTCTGCTCTCCCTCCCTCCCTCGCCTGCGCCGCCCTGCATTCCTTGCGTCGAGGGGCGGCAGCGCGCCGCTCCTCACTCCTCCTCGTTCCCTCCCACAGAGGCTCCACTGCAGACGCTCCATCTGGACGTGTGGGGCCCAGCCCGCGTCCAGGGGCAGGGCCGTGAGCGGTACTTCTTGCTGGTCGTCGACGACTACACGCGTTACACCACGGTCTTCCCCTTGCAGAGCAAGGCGGATGTCCCTGCTGTTTTGATCCCTTGGATCCGCGCTGTTCATCTCCAGCTCCGCGAGCGGTACCACTCAAACTTTCCTGTCCTGCGTCTGCACTCTGACAGAGGTGGTGAGTTCACCTCCGACCTCTTGGGCGCCTTCTGACTGGAGGAGGGCATCCTCCAGTCGTTCACGCTTCCGGCCTCCCCGCAGCAGAATGGGGTTGCTGAGCGCCGCATCAGCTTAGTATAGCATGGAGGTGCTGAGCCTGGGGGTGTTGAGCCTGGAGGTGCTGAGCCTGGGGGTGCTGAGCCTGGGGGTACTGAGTCTGGGGGTGCTGCACCTGGGGGTACTGAGGCGCCTGGTGAGCAGTCTCCTTGGAGCGGCCGCCTCCGTAGTCGCTCCGCTGGTGCCTCGCCGCAGCACTCTCGCCAGCGCGTGCCTCTCTCCACACAGCAGCTGCGTGAGTGGTACGTTAGCCGTCAGGGTCGCGCTGCTGGAGCTGGGGGCCCTGCTGCGGGAGGCGCTGGCGTTCGAGGCACGGGAGCTAGTGACTCTGCTACTGGAGGCGCTTCTGCTGACGTCACTGGAGCTCGGGGTGCCGGTTCTGGGGGTGCCGAGTCTGAGCGTGCTGAGGCTGGCGGTACTTTGCCTACTGGAGTTACTGGAGTCACTGGTCCCGGAGGTGCTCGTACTGGAGGTACTGCTGGACCTGGAGGTGCTACTGTCGACCCTGGGGTTGGAGACCCTGGAGCTGGAGGTGCCGGTTCTGGGGGTGCTGCTGCTGGAGACACTTAGGCTGCAGACCCTGGGGCTGGAGGTGCCGGTCCAGGGGGTGCTGCTGCTGGTGGCGCTGGTACTGGAGGTGCTGGCGCTGGGGGTTCTGGAGCTGCTGGTGGCGCTGGTACTGGAGGTGCTGGTGCTGAAGGTTTTGGAGCTGCTGGAGGTCCTGGCGCTGGAGCTAGAGGTTCTGGAGCTGCTGGAGGTGCTGGAGCTACTGGTGCTGGTGGCACTGCACAGCCGCGACTGTTTTTCGCTCCGTCGTGACCGTCGTCTCTGCCACCGCCTGACTCCGTGCTTCACCAGGTTCTTAGCCTCCCGTCTTCTACTGGTCTTCCGTTATAGCCTCGTTCACCACTGCCTGCTCCTTCTCCTTACACTGAGCAGACAGGAGGTCTTGCTGAGCGTCGTGAGCCTGTGTCGCGTCCTGTCTCGCCTGTTTGCGCTGGTCGTACTGGTCGTCGTGTTCCTCGTGAGCGTCCGCCTGCTGTTCCCGGCACGCACAGTATGGTACTACGTCCTTCCTCTGTTCCACAGCGTGTTCCTCTGCCGTCTCCTCCTGCGTCCTCTCTGCCTGACGTTCCGGACCCTGAGTCTGACCGGTTTCGTGCTACATACCCTATTGTCACGCGTCTGTTAGCCACTGTTGTCACTGACCCGTCGTTTGAGTCTGCTACTGCGTCTGCCTTAGTTGCTGAGCTTGTTGACTTTGCTGCTGCTTGTCGTCTCGACTATGCCGCTAGTCTTGTTGCTTAGTCTGAGTCTGTCTGTCCTCCGTGCGTCGGGGGTGAGTGTGCTCTTGGCACGGACGTCCTTGAGGACAGGCAGGAGGACTTTGAGTGTCTTGCAGCCGCTGCGCCTCATCTCGTGGCCATGCTGCTTGCACCTGAGGGAGACCCGGATGCTTTAGACATCCCGACCCCGCGCTCTTACGCTGAGGCGATCGCGGGTGAGTACTCCTCTCAGTGGCAGGCAGCCATGGACGCAGAGATGGCATCCTGGAAGTCCACAGGCACTTACGTCGATGAGGTTCCCCCTCCTGGGGCGAACATTGTCGATGGCATGTGGATTTTCAGGGTGAAGCGGCCGCCGGGTTCTCCTCCTGTCTTCAAGGCTCGTTACGTTGTTAGAGGCTTTAGTCAGCGACAGGGAGTTGACTTCTTCCAGACCTTCTCCCCCACCCCGAAGATGACCACTCTTCAGGTGCTGCTGCACGTTGCCGCTCAGCGTGACTACGAGCTTCACTCTCTTGTCTTCAGCACAACTTTCTTACAGGGCAGCCTGCACGAGGAGATCTGGCTGCGCCGACCACCGGGCTTCACTGGGTCGTTCCCTCCTGGTACCCAGTGGAGCCTCCGACGGCCAGTCTACGGTCTCCGCCAGGCGCCTCGTGAGTGGCACGACACACTGCGGACCACCTTTGCGGCTCTTGGGTTTGCACCCTCCACTGCTGACCCGTCTCTGTTTTTACGCACCGACTCTTCGCTGCCGCCGTTCTACATCCTCGTGTACGTCGACGACCTGGTCTTTGCCACTGCTGACAATGAGGCTCTCGCCCTTGTGAAGTCGGAGCTGCAGAAGAGACACACGTGCACAGACCTGGGTGAGCTGCGCAGCTACCTTGGCTTGCAGATCACCCGGGACAGAGCACGCTGCACCATCACACTGACTCAGTCCACATGGTGCAGCAGGTCCTTCAGCGCTTCGGCCACAGTCCACTCCTCTGGCTACAGGTCACTCGCTCTCAGCTCCACCTTCACACGAGCCCGTAGAGCCGAGTGGTCCGTACCCAGAGCTAGTGGGCTGCCTCATTTACATGATGACCTGCACTTGACCTGACCTTGCGTACCCTCTTGGCCTTCTGGCCCGCTACGTGGCTCCTGGTAGGCACCGAAAGGTGCACATGGATGCTGCTAAGAGGGTACTGCGCTACTTGTGCAGTACATCGGGCATGGGGCTTGTGCTTAGAGGGCAGGGTCCAGTTTTTCTCACTGGACACTCTGACGCTTCTTGGGTTGACGACCTGACTACGCAGCGGTCGTCACAGGGTTACACGTTCAGCCTTGGCTCCGGCTCTGTTTCTTGGCGGTCTACTCGCTCGTCTTCTGTCCTCAGCTCCAGTTGTGAGGCTGAGATCTACGCCACAGCCTTGGCTGCACAGGAGTTACGCTGGCTCTCCCACCTGCTGACCGACTTGGGAGAGCGGCCTCGTTCTCCTCCAGTTCTGTACGTTGACAACAAGGCCGCCATTGCCTTGTGTCAGGAGCACAGACTGGAGCACAGAACGAAGCACATCGCTCAGCGTTACTTCCTGGCTCGAGAGTTGCAGCAGCGTGGTTAGCTTCGTCTTGCTCACGTGGCCACTCGGGCCAACACTGCTGATATCTTTACCAAGGCACTTCCGTCTGGTGATCATCAGCGCTTTTGTACTTTGTTAGGCCTTGTGCCTACGTTTCCTCACTTGCTGTAGACTTTGGTCGTACTGTGATCTACATATATATACCTGCATGCTTACTCTTGCTAGGTAGCGATCATTGTCCTGCTGTTGTTGCATATACCTCTGCATGTGAACTGGCCTTGTGGCCCTTTGCTTGTGCTCGGTGTGTGTGGTGACGTTGTGATCCACCTTGAGCTTGCTTTGCTTTTCTTGACTGGTCTTGTGACCCCTTGTTCTCCCCCACTTTGCCTATGGGGGTGTGTCAAACTATATGTATATGTTATAATTATATGTAGGCTGTAGTTGGGTAGCCAATGTTATAGGGTTTGTTACTTGTACCCAACTCTCTCGATAGTCAAAACACCTTTCCTTTCCTTTACTCTCAACAGAGGGTACTGCGCTACTTGTGCAGTACATCGAGCATGGGGCTCGTGCTTGGAGGACGGGGTCGAGTTGTCCTCACTGGACACTCAGACGCGTCTTGGGTTGACGACCTGGCTACGCAGCGGTCGTCACAGGGTTACACGTTCAGCCTTGGCTCCGGCTCTGTTTCTTGGCGGTCTACCCGCTCGTCTTCTGTTCTCAGCTCCAGTTGTGAGGCTGAGATCTACGCATGAGCCATGGCTGCACAGGAGTTACGTTGGCTCACCTACCTGCTGACCGACTTGGGAGAGCGGCCTCGTTCTCCTCCAGTTCTGTACGTAGACAACAAGGCCGCCATTGCCTTGTGTCAGGAGCATAGACTGGAGCACAGAACGAAGCACATCGCTCTGCGTTACTTCCTTGCTTGAGAGTTGCAGCAGCGTGGTCAGCTTCGTCTTGCTTACGTGGCCACTCGGGCCAACACTGCTGATATATTCACTAAGGCACTTCTGTCTGGTGATGATCAGCGTTTCTGTAAATTTTTAGGCCTTGTGCCTGCTTCGTCTCACTTGCTCATTACGTGACTTTGCTTGTACTGTGATCTATACATATATATACCTGCATGCTTACTCTTGCTAGGTTATTGTCAGTGTACTTTTTGCTCTCTTTTATATAACTCTGCATGTGAACTGGCCTTGTGGCCATTTGCTTCTGCTCAGAATGTGTGGTGATATCGTAAACCACCCTCAGATTGATTTGGGCTTCTTGACTGGTCTTGTGACCCCTTGTTCTCCCCCAGTTTGCCTATGGGGGTGTGTCAAACTGAAATAATGTTCGTATTGTGTAGGCTGTAGTGGAATAGCCCATAAGGGGTACAACCCAATTAGGGTTGATACTTGTACGAACTTTTTGGTTCAATGCATTCATTCTCGCTTAGTCTTCTAACACCTTTCGTATTCAACTGTCTTCCTATGTACACCCTTGTAACGCATTGCATTAGTCTAATCTGTCGATATTAAAATATCCCTCTTCTGTCAGGGTCCGTACCGGACTTCACTAACAAACCTTCCGCTGCTACACTACATGCCATCAATCTGAGACGGTTTTGTAAACTTCATTTCATATTGTAAGAGTCCAATTCAATCCTTCGATTACTTCAACAACCAGGATATGATGTACGACCGCACCATCAGTTGTACTAATCGGCGGTGCTAGGACGGCCAAATCCGTTCATTGTTTCAGCTCAATACGTATGCGCGTCTTTGATTTCACACTAACAAATATTTCCTCAATATTTTAAGCATTTATCTGAACGCAGTTTCAAAACTTGCAAGTGGTTGCTATTGAGAGTGCTAAAAAAATGACTCGTAAAATGATATCCCCGAAATGTGGAACCAATTATATAGGGTTGCTAAGCAGCCCAAAAATGCTTTAGTTAATAATGCTTTTGCCACTAACGAACGACTCCAGCAATTCCCTCCCTCTCTCGCTCACGCAACTCAACTCGATCAGAAGCCAAGCGTCGATGCATACGCGCCTGACAAACTCCCAACAGACAGATTCCCAACAGTAGACCGATCCACTTCTGCAAAATTGTTGCGTACGCCGGAAAATCGACTCGACGCCCACATACCTCTTATAGCGCGCCAATCAGCGGGCGCCATGTCAGGGTGGGACGAGGGGCAGGTGTTCTACAGCAACCAGTCGTTCCCCGAGTCGGAAGGGCCGGCCGGCGACGACGCGCTGGGCGACGCGGGAATCACGCGATATGCCGCGCAGAAGAAGCTTCGCGAGTTCGTGCGAAACTTCCACGATCCGCAGTACCATGACCGCTTCATCTACAGGTGCGTCGTTCGTGCGGTAACCCGCTGCCCGCGTTTCCGCATCTTCCGCTGCCGCGGCCACCTCATTCCGCACCGTGCGGTCCCCGCCCCTGTTCAATGCGGGCGCCTTCCTTATCTGCGTCCAGCGGGGCTTTAGAATCTCTCACAAAACGACTAATCCGCGCTGTGAGATTCCCGTCGTCCCCTGCGCGCTGTGCGCCCTCCCTGCACGCGGTCCGCGACCGTCCTTACTAGCATCTTCCCTCCCCTAATCCCGCCCCTTCCTTTCTAGCAATCTCCCTCCCCCAATCCCGCGTGTTCCTGCTTCACATGGCTGGGGCTGCACATGGCTGGGGCTTCACATGGCTGGGGCTGCACATGGCTGGTGCTTCACATGGCTGGGGCTTCACATGTCTGGGGCTTCACATGGCTGGGGCTTCACATGGCTGGGGCTTCACATGGCTGGGGCTTCACATGGCTGGGGCTTCACATGGCTGGGGCTGCACATGGCTGGGGCTGCACATGGCTGGGGCTGCACATGGCTGGGGCTTCACATGGCTGGGGCTTCACATGGCTGGGGCTTCACATGGCTGGGGCTTCACATGGCTGGGGCTTCACATGGCTGGGGCTTCACATGGCTGGGGCTTCACATGGCTGGGGCTGCACATGGCTGGGGCTTCACATGGCTGGGGCTTCACATGGCTGGGGCTTCACATGGCTGGGGCTTCACATGGCTGGGGCTTCACATGGCTGGGGCTTCACATGGCTGGGGCTTCACATGGCTGGGGCTGCACATGGCTGGGGCTGCACATGGCTGGGGCTGCACATGGCTGGGGCTGCACATGGCTGGGGCTTCACATGGCTGGGGCTGCACATGGCTGGGGCTGCACATGGCTGGGGCTGCACATGGCTGGGGCTTCACATGGCTGGGGCTTCACATGGCTGGGGCTTCACATGGCTGGGGCTTCACATGGCTGGGGCTTCACATGGCTGGGGCTGCACATGGCTGGGGCTGCACATGGCTGGGGCTGCACATGGCTGGGGCTTCACATGGCTGGGGCTTCACATGGCTGGGGCTTCACATGGCTGGGGCTTCACATGGCTGGGGCTTCACATGGCTGGGGCTTCACATGGTTGGGGCTTCACATGGCTGGGGCTGCACATGGCTGGGGCTGCACATGGCTGGGGCTGCACATGGCTGGGGCTGCACATGGCTGGGGCTTCACATGGCTGGGGCTTCACATGGCTGGGGCTTCACATGGCTGGGGCTGCACATGGCTGGGGCTTCACATGGCTGGGGCTTCACATGGCTGGGGCTTCACATGGCTGGGGCTTCACATGGCTGGGGCTTCACATGGCTGGGGCTGCACATGGCTGGGGCTGCACATGGCTGGGGCTGCACATGGCTGGGGCTGCACATGGCTGGGGCTTCACATGGCTGGGGCTTCACATGGCTGGGGCTTCACATGGCTGGGGCTTCACATGGCTGGGGCTTCACATGGCTGGGGCTTCACATGGCTGGGGCTTCACATGGCTGGGGCTTCACATGGCTGGGGCTGCACATGGCTGGGGCTGCACATGGCTGGGGCTTCACATGGCTGGGGCGTCACATGGCTGGGGCTTCACATGGCTGGGGCTTCACATGGCTGGGGCTTCACATGGCTGGGGCTGCACATGGCTGGGGCTGCACATGGCTGGGGCTTCACATGGCTGGGGCTTCACATGGCTGGGGCTTCACATGGCTGGGGCTTCACATTGCTGGGGCTTCACATGGCTGGGGCTTCACATGGCTGGGGCTGCACATGGCTGGGGCTGCACATGGCTGGGGCTGCACATGGCTGGGGCTGCACATGGCTGGGGCTTCACATGGCTGGGGCTTCACATGGCTGGGGCTTCACATGGCTGGGGCTGCACATGGCTGGGGCTTCACATGGCTGGGGCTTCACATGGCTGGGGCTTCACATGGCTGGGGCTTCACATGGCTGGGGCTGCACATGGCTGGGGCTGCACATGGCTGGGGCTGCACATGGCTGGGGCTGCACATGGCTGGGGCTGCACATGGCTGGGGCTTCACATGGCTGGGGCTTCACATGGCTGGGGCTTCACATGGCTGGGGCTTCACATGGCTGGGGCTTCACATGGCTGGGGCTTCACATGGCTGGGGCTTCACATGGCTGGGGCTTCACATGGCTGGGGCTTCACATGGCTGGGGCTGCACATGGCTGGGGCTTCACATGGCTGGGGCTTCACATGGCTGGGGCTTCACATGGCTGGGGCTTCACATGGCTGGGGCTTCACATGGCTGGGGCTTCACATGGCTGGGGCTTCACATGGCTGGGGCTTCACATGGCTGGGGCTTCACATGGCTGGGGCTTCACATGGCTGGGGCTGCACATGGCTGGGGCTTCACATGGCTGGGGCTTCACATGGCTGGGGCTTCACATGGCTGGGGCTTCACATGGCTGGGGCTTCACATGGCTGGGGCTGCACATGGCTGGGGCTTCACATGGCTGGGGCTGCACATGGCTGGGGCTGCACATGGCTGGGGCTGCACATGGCTGGGGCTGCACATGGCTGGGGCTTCACATGGTTGGGGCTGCACATGACTGGCGCTTCACATGGCTGGGGCTTCACATGGCTGGGGCTGCACATGGCTGGGGCTGCACATGGCTGGGGCTGCACATGGCTGGGGCTGCACATGGCTGGGGCTGCACATGGCTGGGGCTGCACATGGCTGGGGCTGCACATGGCTGGGGCTGCACATGGCTGGGGCTGCACATGGCTGGGGCTGCACATGGCTGGGGCTTCACATGGCTGGGGCTTCACATGGCTGGGGCTTCACATGGCTGGGGCTTCACATGGCTGGGGCTTCACATGGCTGGGGCTTCACATGGCTGGGGCTTCACATGGCTGGGGCTGCACATGGCTGGGGCTGCACATGGCTGGGGCTTCACATGGCTGGGGCTTCACATGGCTGGGGCTTCACATGGCTGGGGCTTCACATGGCTGGGGCTTCACATGGCTGGGGCTGCACATGGCTGGGGCTGCACATGGCTGGGGCTTCACATGGCTGGGGCTTCATATGGCTGGGGCTTCACATGGCTGGGGCTTCACATGGCTGGGGCTTCACATGGCTGGGGCTTCACATGGCTGGGGCTGCACATGGCTGGGGCTGCACATGGCTGGGGCTGCACATGGCTGGGGCTGCACATGGCTGGGGCTTCACATGGCTGGGGCTTCACATGGCTGGGGCTTCACATGGCTGGGGCTGCACATGGCTGGGGCTGCACATGGCTGGGGCTTTACATGGCTGGGGCTTCACATGGCTGGGGCTTCACATGGCTGGGGCTTCACATGGCTGGGGCTTCACATGGCTGGGGCTTCACATGGCTGGGGCTTCACATGGCTGGGGCTTCACATGGCTGGGGCTTCACATGGCTGGGGCTGCACATGGCTGGGGCTTCACATGGCTGGGGCTTCACATGGCTGGGGCTTCACATGGCTGGGGCTTCACATGGCTGGGGCTGCACATGGCTGGGGCTGCACATGGCTGGGGCTTCACATGGCTGGGGCTTCACATGGCTGGGGCTTCACATGGCTGGGGCTTCACATGGCTGGGGCTTCACATGGCTGGGGCTTCACATGGCTGGGGCTTCACATGGCTGGGGCTTCACATGGCTGGGGCTTCACATGGCTGGGGCTGCACATGGCTGGGGCTGCACATGGCTGGGGCTGCACATGGCTGGGGCTGCACATGGCTGGGGCTGCACATGGCTGGGGCTTCACATGGCTGGGGCTTCACATGGCTGGGGCTTCACATGGCTGGGGCTTCACATGGCTGGGGCTTCACATGGCTGGGGCTTCACATGGCTGGGGCTTCACATGGCTGGGGCTTCACATGGCTGGGGCTTCACATGGCTGGGGCTGCACATGGCTGGGGCTTCACATGGCTGGGGCTTCACATGGCTGGGGCTTCACATGGCTGGGGCTTCACATGGCTGGGGCTTCACATGGCTGGGGCTGCACATGGCTGGGGCTGCACATGGCTGGGGCTGCACATGGCTGGGGCTGCATGCACATGGCTGGGGCTGCACATGGCTGGGGCTGCACGTGGCTGGGGCTGCACATGGCTGGGGCTGCACATGGCTGGGGCTTCACATGGCTGGGGCTTCACATGGCTGGGGCTTCACATGGCTGGGGCTTCACATGGCTGGGGCTTCACATGGCTGGGGCTTCACATGGCTGGGGCTTCACATGGCTGGGGCTTCACATGGCTGGGGCTGCACATGGCTGGGGCTGCACATGGCTGGGGCTTCACATGGCTGGGGCTTCACATGGCTGGGGCTTCACATGGCTGGGGCTTCACATGGCTGGGGCTTCACATGGCTGGGGCTTCACATGGCTGGGGCTTCACATGGCTGGGGCTTCACATGGCTGGGGCTTCACATGGCTGGGGCTTCACATGGCTGGGGCTGCACATGGCTGGGGCTGCACATGGCTGGGGCTTCACATGGCTGGGGCTGCACAGCACACGTCGTCTCCCGTTTCCCTTCTCCCACGCCAACCCCACTTCCCCCCATTTCCCCCCTTTTCCTTATTCCCCCCTTCCCCCCATTCCCCCCCTTCCCCCCATGGCGCAGGGAGCGGCTGCAGGAGGGCGGGGGAGTGCTGGAGGACGTGGCGGTTTGGGGGCGGCTAACAGCACACCGTCTCTCCCCCCTCTCGTTCCCCACCCCCCCGTCACCCCTGGCTGTTCCAGGGAGCGGCTGCAGGAGGGTGGGGGAGTGCTGGAGGTGGATTTGGAGGACCTGGCGAGCAAGGAGGAGGGGCTGTGCCGCCTCATGCGCACCCGCCCCACTGATATGCTGCCGCTGGTCGGTGGGATCCCTATGGATTCGTATTGCCCTCATCTACTTGTTTCTCATAAGCATTCCTTTTTCATAACCATTCCTTTTTCATGACCATTCCATTCTCATGAGCATTCCATTCTCATGAGCATTCCATTCTCATGACCATTCCATTCTCATGACCATTCCATTCTCATGAGCATTCCATTCTCATGAGCATTCCATTCTCATGAGCATTCCATTCTCATGAGCATTCCATTCTCATGAGCATTCCATTCTCATGACCATTCCATTCTCATGAGCATTCCATTCTCATGAGCATTCCATTCTCATGACCATTCCATTCTCATGAGCATTCCATTCTCATGAGCGTTTTGAATGGGTGACTGATATGTGCTTGTCTCTCTCTCTTTGCCTGCTCTTGGCCTCCTTGCTTCTCCCGCTTCTGCGCTCCCTTCAATCCTCCCACTCCCCCCTCCCTCTTTCTCACCCGCCCTGTGCTGACGTGGCAGTTGGAGGTGGCAGCAGCTGAGGTGGCAGCGAGAGTGCGGCAGAAGGTGATGGGGGAGAGTGGGGAGCTGGAGGATGCGCGAGTGCCGCCCGTGCAGGTGCTGCTCAAGAGCTCTGAAGACGCCATGCCCATCAGGGCTTTAACGGTGAGTGCCATGCCCATCAGGGCTTTAACGGTACGTGCCATGCCCATCAGGGCTTTAACGGTGAGTGCCATGCCCATCAGGGCTTTAACGGTACGTGCCATGCCCATCAGGGCTTTAACGGTACGTGCCATGCCCATCAGGGCTTTAACGGTACGTGCCATGCCCATCGCGCCTTAACGGTGCGTGCCTTGCCTTGCCTTGCCTTGCCTTGCCTTGCCTTGCCTTGCCTTGCCTTGCCTTGCCTTGCCTTGCCTTGCCTTGCCTTGCCTTGCCTTGCCTTGCCTTGTATGCCTTGCCTTGCCTTGCCTTGCCTTGCCTTGCCTTGCCTTGCCTTGCCTTGCCTTGCCTTGCCTTGCCTTGCCTTGCCTTGCCTTGCATCACGTGCACTACTCTACTTCCTCCGCCCTGACTCCCAACCATGTCGTCTCATGACTCCTCTGTCTGTGCGGACCTGCCTTCCGTCGTCCCGTTTCAGTTTCTTTCTTTCCTTCTGCGGTAGGAAATGGGTGTGTTGCATTGCGTCGCTGCCCAAGTGATTTCTAATTGAACCCTCATAAAACTTCCAACAACCCTTTTTGCCACCCTCATCAGGCAGCACAACTCGTCCATGGGGTCTGAAGATATCACGCATCCTCATTGCTTCGTTTCTCTGCCTCCCCCCTTCTCCCTCCACCCCCCACCAGGCAGCACAACAAATACCTTTTTTGGTGGGGATCGCAAGCATCATTTTCCCACCTCTGAAATTGCTTGCTCTCGCTCTCCCTCTTCCCTCTCCCCACTTTTGTCCGCCCCTCACCTCGCCAGGCGGCACAGGTCTCTCATTTAGTGATGATCTCGACCATCGTGATCGCTTCGTTTTCTCTCCCCCCCCCTCTCCCCCTTCTCACTCCACCCGTCACCAGGCGGCACAGATCTCGCATCTGGTGAAGATCTCTGGCATCGTGATTGCATCCTCGCGCGCCAAGGCCAAGGCGACGTCAGTGGTGCTCATGTGCCGCTCCTGCAAGAACGTCAAGGCCATCCCCTGCCGCCCGGGGCTGGGAGGCGCCATCATCCCTCGCACCTGCGACCGCACCCCCCAGGTGGGTTTCATTGCACCTGCGACCGCACCCCCCAGGTGGGTTTCATTGCACCTGCAACCGCACCCACCCCCCAGGTGGGTTTCGTTTTCCATCGTCAAGTGAAAAATAGAGAACAAATAAGCACATTTGATGCGTGTGATGCAAGGTCTTGATGTGTTTAGGGGATTCATTGGAGGCAGGCTGGATTGAGTGATTGATGGGCATTTGGAGCATTCCGGAGCAGAGAATCACTTCCTTTCATCCTCGTCCCGGAGGGGCCCATGCGGGGAGATCCCAAGTGTGGAGCTGCTGCTGATCAAAATGACAACTCTTTTTTTGTCTTCCGCTCCTTTCAAACCTGATTTTTCTATTATTCCCCTCCCCTTCCTTCCTTACCTCCTTCCTCTTTTCCCGTCTCCCGCCTCCCTCCATCCACCTCTTCTCTGTTGCGAGCAGCCAGGGGAGGAGCCATGTGGGGTGGACCCATGGGTGGTGCTGCCGGATAGAAGCGAGTATGTGGACCAGCAGACGCTCAAACTGCAGGAGAATCCCGAGGTAACTCAGGAGAATCCCGAGGTAACTCAGGAGAATCTCGAGGTAACTCAGGAGAATCCCGAGGTAACTCAGGAGAATCTCGAGGTAACTCAGGAGAATCCCGAGGTAACTCAGGAGAATCTCGAGGTAACTCAGGAGAATCCCGAGGTAACTCAGGAGAATCTCGAGGTAACTCAGGAGAATCCCGAGGTAACTCAGGAGAATCTCGAGGTAACTCAGGAGAATCCCGAGGTAACTCAGGAGAATCTCGAGGTAACTCAGGAGAATCCCGAGGTAACTCAGGAGAATCTCGAGGTAACTCAGGAGAATCCCGAGGTAACTCAGGAGAATCTCGAGGTAACTCAGGAGAATCTCGAGGTAACTCAGGAGAATCCCGAGGTAGCTCAGGAGAATCTCGAGGTAACTCAGGAGAATCCCGAGGTAACTCAGGAGAATCTCGAGGTAACTCAGGAGAATCCCGAGGTAACTCAGGAGAATCTCGAGGTAACTCAGGAGAATCCCGAGGTAACTCAGGAGAATCTCGAGGTAACTCAGGAGAATCCCGAGGTAACTCAGGAGAATCCCGAGGTAACTCAGGAGAATCTCGAGGTAACTCAGGAGAATCCCGAGGTAACTCAGGAGAATCTCGAGGTAACTCAGGAGAATCCCGAGGTAACTCAGGAGAATCTCGAGGTAACTCAGGAGAATCCCGAGGTAACTCAGGAGAATCCCGAGGTAACTCAGGAGAATCTCGAGGTAACTCAGGAGAATCTCGAGGTAACTCAGGAGAATCCCGAGGTAACTCAGGAGAATCCCGAGGTAACTCAGGAGAATCCCGAGGTAACTCAGGAGAATCCCGAGGTAACTCAGGAGAATCCCGAGGTAACTCAGGAGAATCCCGAGGTAACTCAGGAGAATCTCGAGGTAACTCAGGAGAATCCCGAGGTAACTCAGGAGAATCCCGAGGTAACTCAGGAGAATCCCGAGGTAACTCAGGAGAATCCCGAGGTAACTCAGGAGAATCCCGAGGTAACTCAGGAGAATCCCGAGGTAACTCAGGAGAATCTCGAGGTAACTCAGGAGAATCCCGAGGTAACTCAGGAGAATCCCGAGGTAACTCAGGAGAATCCCGAGGTAACTCAGGAGAATCCCGAGGTAACTCAGGAGAATCTCGAGGTAACTCAGGAGAATCCCGAGGTAACTCAGGAGAATCCCGAGGTAACTCAGGAGAATCCCGAGGTAACTCAGGAGAATCCCGAGGTAACTCAGGAGAATCCCGAGGTAACTCAGGAGAATCCCGAGGTAACTCAGGAGAATCCCGAGGTAACTCAGGAGAATCCCGAGGTAACTCAGGAGAATCCCGAGGTAACTCAGGAGAATCCCGAGGTAACTGAGGAGACTTTGGAGTCATTCCAGGAAAATCTGTCTGTGAATCTTCATGGAAGGTCACTATGCCCCATGCATGCCCCATGCGGAGGGGTGAGATGCAATGCAGTGTGGTGCTGGCGGTGGACTTCTCGCTGGTGCAGCATGCTGCTTGCACTGCATGCACACCATCAACCTCGCGCCATGCCCCATGCCTCATGCCCCATGCGCTATGCGCCATGCCCCATGCCCCATGCCCATTGCCCCATGCCCCATGCCCATTGCCCCATGCCCCATGCCCATTGCCCCATGCCCCATGCCCATTGCCCCGTGCCCATTGCCCATGCGTCATGCCCATTGCCCCATTCCTCATCTGGCATGACAAATGCAGCATGTCAAGCTCCTTCCCATGCCTCATGGCCCATGCCCCATGCACCATTTCCCTCAGCACGTCCCCACGGGTGAGATGCTGCGCCGTGTGCTGCTGGCGGTGGACTGCTCGCTGCTGCACCGCATCATGTGTGCACTGCCCAATGCACACCGTCAACCTTGCCTTGCCCCATGCCCCTTGCCTCCACGCCCCTCAGGACGTGCCAACAGGTGAGATGCCGCGCAGTGTGCTGCTGGCGGTGGATCGCTCACTGGTGCAGCGCATCGCCCCCGGCACGCGCATCACCGTGTTTGGCATCTTCAGCATCTTCCAGGCCTCCGATAAATCCAAGTGAGCTGCCTGCTTGCCGCCCAGAAGGCTGAATTGTGCGAGTCTGAGCAGAGTGAGATGAAAGCTTACTTACTCTCACAGTCCGCCTACATTCTCCACTGCCACGTGCATCACTGTGTTCAGCATCTTCCAGGCTTCCAATAAAGCACGTGACATGCATGCAGGCTAAGGGGCTGAATTGTGTGTGTGGGAGCAAAACCGAGTGAGGTGCTGATTGGTCTCTCATCCCACTCAACTCGGGCGCTTTGGCATTCTAAGCACCTTGGAGTGCGCAGTTAAAAACATGTGTGACGCATGTATGATGGGTTCGGGGGAGATGAGGTCCGTCCCTGAGGTGCCTCAAAGCGTCCTCCAGCCTGTCAGCAGAACCAAGCGAGATGGAAGGAGTTCAAGAAGCCTTGGCGGTGCCCAGCCTTGGTGGTGCCCAGCCTTGGCGGTGCCCAGCCTTGGCGGTGCCCAGCCTTGGCAGTGCCCAGCCTTGGCAGTGCCCAGCCTTGGCGGTGCCCAGCCTTGGCGGTGCCCAGCCTTGGCGGTGCCCAGCCTTGGCGGTGCCCAGCCTTGGCGGTGCCCAGCCTTGGCAGTGCCCAGCCTTGGCGGTGCCCAGCCTTGGCGGTGCCCAGCCTTGGCGGTGCCCAGCCTTGGCGGTGCCCAGCCTTGGCGGTGCCCAGCCTTGGCGGTGCCCAGCCTTGGCAGTGCCCAGCCTTGGCAGTGCCCAGCCTTGGCGGTGCCCAGCCTTGGCGGTGCCCAGCCTTGGCGGTGCCCAGCCTTGGCGGTGCCCATCCCTGTGTGGGGTGGCCGTGCGTGAAGATGTCTTTCTGTTGCCCCCTCTTCCTTCTTACGTTCCCCACGCTGCCCTCCTCTTACTGCTATCCCTCCCTTCATCCCCACCTCTCCTCTCCTCCCCCCCTCAGGTCCTGGGGTGCCATGGCGGTGGCAATACGGCAGCCATACCTGCGGGTGGTGGGGGTGGAGGCAGCACCACTGCACCACTCACCCGCAGTCCTCGCCATCTCCCCCACCTCTGCTCCCTGTGACCCCGCCTGTCAGGTCGCGAGGGGCCATGGCGGTGGCAATACGGCAGCCATACCTGCGAGTGGTGGGGGTGGAGATGCCTGCGGATGGCGCTGCCAGGTCCGCCGCCTCCTCCTTCACCACTGATGAGGTCCGTCGGCGCGTTGACTTGCGCTGACTGGTGTTGACTGGTGTTGACTGGCGTTGACTTGAGTTGACTTGCGCTGACTGGCGTTGTCTCCTTTGACAATTTTCTGGCCCACACTGACTTGGATGATTTCTCTGAGCTTGGGTGTTGATTCCGGATTGCCACATCGTAAATCACTTCATAGTCACCCTCTCTTCCCCCTGCCCCACTCAAACCCTTCCCCCCTCCCCACACAGGGGGCGGAGTTCAAGAACTTCAGCCGACAGGGCGACGAGGTGACGTTCGAGTAGACTCATAAGTCACATCTTAATCACTTCGCAAGCTCCCTGCTCCCCCCCTTCCCCCCACAGGAGGCGGAGTTCAAGGACTTCAGCCGGCAGGGCGACGTGTACGGCGCCATAAGCAGCCAGATTGCGCCGTCCATCTTCGGGCACGCTGACATCAAGAAGGCCATCGCCTGCCTGCTCTTCGGTGGCGCTCGCAAGGTGGGGTGGGGTGGGGTGGGCCATGTGCGAGGGGCGGGTGGGGAATATCAGAGCAGGAAGGTGGGAGAGTGTTAGCCTTGAAGGAGGTGTGCCCCACACCTTGTGGTGACCGCCAGGTCAGGAGGGTGGAATGGATGCTTGCCTTGCATCACCTTTCCGTGTGCCTTGACATGCCTGGTCGCTGCACTGTTGCTTCTCCAACACCTGCTCTCTGCACTGTTGCTTCTCCAACACCTGCTCTCTGCACTGTTGCTTCTCCAACACCTGCTCTCTGCACTGTTGCTTCTCCAACACCTGCTCTCTGCACTGTTGCTTCTCCAACACCTGCTCTCTGCACTGTTGCTTCTCCAACACCTGCTCTCTGCACTGTTGCTTCTCCAACACCTGCTGTGCCCTGCCATCACATCCCATGTTTCATTTTAAACTAAACAATCCAAAATTGTAACTTTGTGTAACTCTTTTTTTTTTGTTTTTGTTTTTGTTTTTTTTTCTTCTTCTTCTTCTTTTTCTTTTGTTTCCATTTTCCAGATTTCTTGTGCTGTTAATTTTTCATTGATGGTTCCATCTATGCCTTCTCTCTTTCCTCTGCCCCTTTATCCCGCTGCTCCCTCATTCACCAATCAGCTACTGCCAGATGGCGCAAGGCTGAGAGGTGACATCAACGTACTGCTGATTGGTGATCCATCCACCGCCAAGTCCCAGGTGAGTCAGCATGAGTCACACCGGAGTCAGCACTTGTGGGTTTAATACTACTTCTCACTGGCGTCCATGTCCCCAAGTTTATGCAGAATCGTCACCCATCCCCGTGCCGCTCTCCGAGTTTATCCCTGTGTTCTCAGACGTCTCAATTTCCAAGCGCCCTATGTGCTCGTTAATGCAACCCCTCAATCCTCCCCACCCACACCCCCCCTCCCCACCCGTGCCTGTGCAGTTCCTAAAGTTTGTGGAGAAGACGGCGCCCATAGCGGTGTACACGTCAGGGAAGGGCTCCTCGGCTGCGGGTCTCACCGCCTCCGTCATTCGCGATGCCTCCTCTGTCAGTGCAAAGCCACACCCACCCACTTGTGCACCACAAGCTGTGCTTCCTCCATTTTAATTTGATCTTCTCTGTGTTTTGTTTTGTTTGTTTGTTTGTTTGTTTTTTACTCTGTATTTGTGTATGGCCTCGTGCTATTGATCTGTGTTCCTGTGGTGAATCCGTTACCCTGTGATGTATCTGTTTCCCCGCCATTCATCTATGATCCTCCCTCCCGTGAGCGGCTTGGCCCACGATGGGCGGCAGAGGGAGTTCTACCTGGAGGGGGGCGCCATGGTGCTGGCAGACGGTGGTGTGGTGTGCATCGATGAGTTCGACAAGATGCGCCCTGAGGACAGGTGGGGGAGGGGGAGGGGGGGGGAGCGGGGGGGTGGTTTGGGGGGAGATGGATGGGGTGGGAGGGATGAACTAGGCTAGGCCAGAGTCACTTGCATGTTTCACCACCCCACGTGTTTCACCCAAGTGTTCCACAGAGTTGTGAACCATTTCATTCCATGGAACTGTGCAGCAGCAGGTATGAGCCCCACTGTGTGCGTCGTCGAGCCCTCTGCCCCATGCGCCCCACAGAGTGGCCATCCACGAGGCGATGGAGCAGCAGACGATGAGCATGGCCAAGGCAGGCATCACCACTGGCGCATCTCCCTTGTTCCCTGTCACCACCGTGCGTGCACGTTCGTCCGCACGCACCATGGATGCTGTAGAGTGGCAATCCATGCGGCAATGAAGCACGCATCTCACGTGTGTGCTTTGCCTTGGCACTCCATGTGTTCTTCCCCCCCCCACAACCCTTGGGCCCCACAGGGTGGCGATACACGAGGCGATGGAGCAGCAGACAATAAGCATCGCCAAGGCGGGCATCACCACCGTCCTCAACTCGCGCACCTCCGTGCTCGCCGCTGCCAACCCGCCCTCCGGCCGATATGATGACCTCAAGGTGACCCCAGGGCCGCCTCAACAAATGTATCATTGTGCTGCCACATCTTGCCATGTTATGCCCTGGAATGATCGATGCGTACATCGCATCCCCATCTCCCTCTCTCCTTGTCCATCCCTCCTCGCACCCCCCCACAGACGGCACAGGAGAACATTGATCTGCAGAGCACCATTCTGTCGCGCTTCGACCTCATCTTTGTCGTCAAGGACACCCGCGACTTCAACCGCGATCTGGTTCGCCCTCTCCCTTTTGAGAATTCTCAAAACTGGTTCGCCCTCTCCCTTTTGAGAATTCTCAAAACTGGTTCGTCCTCTCCCTTTTGAGAATTCTCAAAACTGGTTCGCCCTCTCCCTCCCCTCCTGCTCTTCTCCTTCCTTTCGCCTACCTTCCACTCTTTCACTTTAGCCTTCTTTTCGATTGCTGCTCTCCCAGTCTGCATGGGTGAGTCCCAACCTGCATGGCCTAATCTTTGTTTTATCAAGCGCACATGTGATTTCAACGTGGCCTGCTATCTGCTTCCTTCCAACCACACCTGCTGTGCTGAAACCGCCTCCATATATAGCCCACTCAATCTATATGTCTGAAGATTTGACCCCATCGTGACTGCCAAAGATACCCGAGACCTTCTCCGCCCTCCTTGCCTTGGCGTTTGCCTCCCGTTGTCAGCCCTAGCTTTGTGCCACCACCCATGTTTGTTTCCGCCATTCCCTCCTCAAGATCATGCTGCACGTGGTGAATGTGCATGCGAGGTCTCAGCCTGGGCCCCTTAGTTACTTGCACCTGTATCCCTTCCCCTGTGGCTGACCTTTTCCCCTGTGGCTGACCCCTTCCCCTGTGGCTGACCCCTTCTTCCACGCAGCAAATAGCGCGGCACGTGGTGAACGTGCATGCGAAGGCGGATGCGGTGGTGGGGCAGGCAGACGATGCCATGGGGGGGCGCGCAGCTATGGGGGACGGTCCTGCTGGGGCGGGGGGCGTGGGGCACACGGGGAAGGATGGGGAGCAGGAGAACTGGCTCAAGAGGTGAGGTGGAGTGGGAGCAGCGAATTGGTGGGGGGAATGGGCGAACGGTGGAGTAGGGGAATGGCGTCCGCCGTTCCAGTTACCAGTATTCCCCTTTGCGTCCGCCGTTCCAGTTGCCAGTATTCCCCTTTGCGTCACCAAGCGCATTGAGCCTTTACCTCTTGCCTCCAAAGTTGTAATTTGAAGAAGCCATTGCGGACCTCCCTCCTTCCATTGCGCTGCTGCTTGTTGTCCTAAACTCCTCCCTTCCCATCAGGTACATCGAGTTTGCTCGCACACGCTGCTCCCCACGACTGTCGGAGTCGGCAGCAACGCTCCTGCAAAACAACTATGTGCAGATCCGACAGGTGAGGTGTGGGTTGATTCGGCAGGGTGTGAGCTCATCCGCAACACATCACATCACATTGCACTGCACCGCACCATACCGCATCCCACGTCACCGTTGCTGCGCCACGTAACCCAGCATCATCCCCACATCACCCCGTCTCCCCTCAGAACATGCGGCGGAGGGCAACGGAGACGGGGGAGGCATCAGCGCTGCCAATCACAGTTCGCCAGCTGGAGGCCATCGTGAGGCTCTCAGAGTCCATGGCACGCATGCAGCTGTGAGTGACGTGGCAGGCAGCTGTGAGTGACGTGGCAGGCAGCTGTGAGTGACGTGGCAGGCAGCTGTGAGTGACATGGCATGCAGCTGTGAATGACGTGGCATGCATCTGTGAGTGACGTGGCATGCAGCTGTGAGTGACGTTGCATGTAGCTGTGAGGGTAACATACATTCAATTCTGTTGGCAATGTGGTCTCCTCCTGTCCTCCCCTCTTTCACTTCCTCCATACCCCCTCTTCTCCCACACCCCTTCTCCCACACCCCTTCGCCCACGCCCCTTCTCCCACGCCCCTTCTCCCACGCCCCTTCTCCCACCCCCCTTCTCCCACACCCCTTCAACCACACCCCTTCAACCACACCCCTTCGCCCACACCCCTTCGCCCACACCCCTACTCCCACACCCCTTCTCTCTCCCCCCCCTCCCCGCAGCTCCCCAGTGGCCACGGAGGAGCATGTCACGGAGGCGTTGCGCCTCTTCCATGTCGCGACGCTGGACGCCGCCCGGTCGGGCGTGGTGGACGGCGCAGTGCTGACGGAGGAGCAGCGGCGCGAGGTGCAGCAGGTGGAGGGCGCGGTGCGGCGCCGCGTGGCCATTGGGGGCTTCGTGTCCGAGCGGCGCCTGCTGGATGACATCACACGGTCGGGCATCAGCGAGAGTGCTGTGAGTCCTGGGCTGTGAAAGTGCTGTGAGTCCTGGGCTGTGAAAGTGCTGTGAGTCCTGGGCTGTGAAAGTGCTGTGAGTCCTGGGCTGTGAAAGTGCTGTGAGTCCTGGGCTGTGAAAGTGCTGTGAGTCCTGGGCTGTGAAAGTGCTGTGAGTCCTGGGCTGTGAAAGTGCTGTGAGTCCTGGGCTGTGAAAGTGCTGTGAGTCCTGGGCTGTGAAAGTGCTGTGAGTCCTGGGCTGTGAAAGTGCTGTGAGTCCTGGGCTGTGAAAGTGCTGTGAGTCCTGGGCTGTGAAAGTGCTGTGAGTCCTGGGCTGTGAAAGTGCTGTGAGTCCTGGGCTGTGAGAGTGCTGTGAGTCCTCGGCTGTGAGAGTGCTGTGAGTCCTGGGCTGTGAAAGTGCTGTGAGTCCTGGGCTGTGAAAGTGCTGTGAGTCCTGGGCTGTGAAAGTGCTGTGAGTCCTGGGCTGTGAAAGTGCTGTGAGTCCTGGGCTGTGAAAGTGCTGTGAGTCCTGGGCTGTGAGAGCGCCGTGAGACTTGCGCTGTGAGAGCCTAACTGCGAGTTTTGGGTGGTGTGTTTGGGAGTGTGGCTGTGAGCACGTGTGTCGTAGAGGCTGCTGTTGGGTGAGATCAGCCAATTAGGTTTCAGTAAGATGGAAGTGAGGCGTGGCGTGGGTTATGGGTGCATGAGGGTGAGCCCTGATTGCCTGGTTGCCTGCTAGTCTAATTCGCCTTGCAACATGGTCGTCTTCTTGGCAACATGGTCGTCTTCTTGCAACATACTGCATCACCGGGCTGCATTCTACTGGTTGTGTAATCCCCAGATTGCCACCCACTTGGTGCCCGTCTGGTGCGCACATGCATCACCGGCTATGCGTGTCATGTGGCATGTGCTTTGGCATGGTTTGTTGTGGCATATGCCGTATGGTAATGGGAATGCGGAATGTGGCGTGGCATGTGTCATGGCATGCTGCATTCATCATCAGGTACGGCGAGCGCTACTCATCATGGTGGCACGCGGAGAGGTGGAGTACCGACGGGAGAGGAGGGTCATTTTCCGCAAAGTCTGACCGCCGCTTCTACTGCTGCTCTGACCGCCGCTTTCACTGTTGGTCTCACAGCTGCTCTCATTGCCATTGGCACTCCGACTACAGTACAGCCACTGGTCTAGGCTCTAGTTTCTTACATGAGTTCAATAATGTACATTTTAGTACGCTGGCCAGAGAAAAAGGACCTCAATGGTTTGCAACTTGTGGTGGAATAATTTTCCAACGCCGACGAAAACCAGCCGGTGTAGTTTAGTCGTTACGTGCATTTTGATTACATTGCCACATACATCAACAGCCATTCCTTCCTACTCAACCTGGGAGTTTTGGCCTTCATTCTTCACCCGCATCTGCTTACTCTCAGTTACCTTTGCAACTAGGCAGGCAGTTAGACTAGACTCCTCTCATCTCATCATCCTTCACCATTTATGACTTCCCGGTCCTATTTTCCGCATCTTCATCACTTCAAACCGTCAGAAACTAACGAGCAGGAATGATTGCATTGAGCAGAATGTGGGTACAAGTGTTAACTCTAAACTAAACTGGGTTGTACCCTATATGGGCTACCCCACTACAGCCTACACAGGACAAACATGATAACAGATTGACACACCCCCATAGGCAAAGTGGGGGAGAACCAGTGGTCACAAGACTAAACAAGAAAAGCAAAGCAAGCTCAGGGTGGATCACGAAGTCACCACACATTCTGAGCACAAGCAAATGGCCACAAGGCCAATTCACATGCAGAGTTAAATAAAGGAGAGCAAACAATACAGACATCACTACCTAGCAAGAGCAAGCATGCAGGCACTATATATATATGAATATATATATATATATATATATATATATATATATATATATATATATATATATATATATATATATATATATATATATATATATATATATATATATATATATATATATCACAGTACAAGCAAATTTACGCAGTGAGCAAGTGAGACGAAGCAGGCACAAGGCCTAAAGCAGTACAGAAACACTGATGATCACCAGGCGGAAGTGCCTTGGTGAATATATCAGCAGTGTTGGCCCGAGTGGCCACGTAAGCAAGACGAAGCTGACCACGCTGCTGCAACTCTCGAGCAAGGAAGTAACGCAGAGCGATGCGCTTCGTTCTGTGCTCCAGTCTGTGCTCCTGACACAAGGCAATGGCGGCCTTGTTGTCTACGTACAGAACTGGAGGAGAACGAGGCCGCTCTCCCAAGTCGGTAAGCAGGTAGGTGAGCCAGCGTAACTCCTGTGCAGCCATAGCTCTTGCATAGATCTCAGCCTCACAACTGGAGCTGAGAACAGAAGACGAGCAGGTAGACCGCCAAGAAACAGAACCGCAGGCAAGGCTGAAGGTGTAACCCTATGACGACCGCTGCGTAGCCAGGTCGTCAACCCAAGACGCGTCCGAGTGTCCAGTGAGGACAACTGGACCCCGTCCTCCAAGCACAAGCCCCATGCCCGATGTACTGCACAAGTAGCGCAACACCCTCTTAGCAGCCTCCCTGTGCTCTCGCCTGTGTCTCCCGGGTGCAACGTAGCGGGCCAGGATGCTAAGAGGGTAGGTAAGGTCAGGTCGAGTGCAGGTCATCAGGTACATGAGGTAGCCCACAAGCTCTGGATACGGGCCACTTGGCTCTACGGACTCGTCCGAAGGTGGAGCTGAGAGCGAGTGACCGGTAGCCAGAGGAGTGGAATGTGGCACACGCACTGCTTCGTCTGGCGGTGCGTTGGGTGGTGGAGGTGGCTCTGGGGGTGGTCAGCAGCTGCAGCCGGGTCGCCATGCGGCCCTCTCGCCGCTGCAGCTTCGAGCGTGGGCGATCAGGCGTGGCAGCTCCGGTGGCCCCTCTCCCTGCGGGTACGTCTGCCGCATCGGTCACCCTGGTCAGACTTGCAGGTGTACGGACCACACGGAGGCCCGCTGCTTCTGGCGCCTTGATGACTTGTATCGTGGGGAGCATGGTGAGCACCTGAAGATCCCGGAATGGGTGAAGTTGTTTTAGAAGAGCGTCGATGTGTTTGCTTGTGATTGGTACGCGATCCATGCTGGTATGTATGCAATGTATGCTGCTTCTGCTAGTGATGAGGGTGATCTTTATGCTTGTGTGCCTAGAGTTTCTAGTGTAAAGGCTGCTAGTCTAGGTGCTTCTGACTCCGGTGCGTCTCGCTGCTTCTTCCGTGACAGCACCACAGTCACCCCACTCACAGTCCCTGTCCCTGTCACTTTGGCCGACCTCTCTGGTGGCCTAGTCGTTGCTCATGGCTCCACGGTTCTCCCGTGTCCGGCAGCCCCCTCCAGTTCCCTTGCAGGTCTCCACCTCCCCTCGTTCGTCAAGAACTTGGTGGCTACCTCCGTCCTCCAGGACTAGTGGGCTACTGTCACTCAGCCTGGGGGTGAGCTAGTGGAGATCTGTACAGACTCACGCACTCACGAGCACGTAGCCACGTTCACTCGGAGGCCCGGGTCTGGTTTGTACACACTGACCACTGAGTCCGCACAGGTAGCTGAGTCAGGTCAGGTAACTGCGTCGGTTGCGGTAGCTGCGTCTTTTTCGTGTCGTCTCCTCACCCACCAGAATCTCCTCAGGCACCACCCTCTTGGTCTCCCCTTCTTGCCACGTTTGCGTGGTATGCACTCCCGTCTCCTTGTGCCTGGTTTCCCCAGGTTCCTGCCCCCACTCCCGAGGTCGCTTGCACCGCCGTGCTTTCCCTGCGTCGAGGGGTGGCAGCGCGCCGCTCCTCACTCCTCCTCGTTTCCTCCTACCACAACTCCTCTACAAACCCTCCACATGGACGTGTGGGGCCCCGCCCGCGTCACTGGACAGGGTGGCGAGCGCTACTTCCTGCTCGTTGTTAACGACTACACGCGCTACACTACGGTCTTCCCCTTACAGAGCAAGGAGGAGGTCCACAATGTCTTGATCCGCTGGATCCGCGCTGCCCGTCTCAAGCTTAGCTCTCGGTTCCGGCAGGACCTGCTGGTCGTGCGGCTGCACTCTGACCGAGGTGGTGAGTTTTGCTCCCGCCTTCTCGAGGACTTCTGTGGTGCTGAGGGCATCCGCCAGTCGTTCACGCTTCCGGCCTCTCCATAGCAGAATGGGATTGCTGAGCGTCGCATTGGCTTGGTCATGGAGGTTGCTCGCACCTCCATGATCCATGCGGCTACTCCCCATTTTCTGTGGCCGTTTGCAGTCCAATACGCTGCGCATCAGCTCAACCTCTGGCCCCATGTCTCCCACCCGGAGACCTCCCTCACTCTGCGGTGGACGGGAGAGGTTGCTGATGCGTCGGTGTTTCGGGTCTGAGGTTCCCTTGCTCTTATCCGCGATATTCCCGCGGGCAAATTTTCTCCTCGCACTCTTCGCTGCGTCTTCCTTAGCTTCCCTACCGATGCCCCTCATTGGCAGTTTTACCACCCGGGTTCTCGTCATGTCCTCTCCTTCCAGGACGTCACCTTTGACGAGTTTGTCTGCTTCTACCGTCTCCACCCCCACCGCAGTTTCCCCGTGCCCCTCCCGCCTCTTTTCTTGGTACCCGACCCCCCCCCCCCCCCCAAGTAGCCCCCCTCCCCCCACAAGGTCCTGCTCCCTCAGGTGTGTCTCAGGTAGACTCACCCCTCTTGGTTGAGCCTTTGGAGGTTTCCTCTGACACTTCTGGGCCAGCTGAGGAGGGTGACCCGACTGGTGCCGACAATGTGGCGCCGCTCAGCGCGCTTGGCGCCATCTTCACCGCCTCTGCAGCTAGTCACTGTGGACTTTGGTGCTGCTGGAAGTGGTGAAACCGGGGGTGCGGACTCTGAGGGTTCCAGTTCTGGCGGTGCTGAGTGTCCTACGGGTACAGGAGGAGCTGGAGGTGCTGCAGTTGGAGGTGTTGGAGGTGCAGGTGCTGGTGATACTAGAGTTCGAGGTGCTGGAGGTCCTAGTGCTGGAGACGCTAGTACTAGCGGTACTGGTGCACGTCGGCAGAAGACTCTCTCACCCGAGGGGCTTCGCGAGTGGGCTGTCCGGTGGGGCAGCCATGATGGTGGAGCTAGCTGTGCTCGAGCTGGAGGTGCTGGTGCTGTTGGTCTTGACTCAGAGGTGCCGGAGGTCCTAGTGCTGAAGATGCTAGTGCTGGCATTATTGGTGCACGCCGGCAGGAGACTCTCTCGCCAGAGCAGCTTCGCGAGTGGGCTGTCCGGTGGGGCAGCCCTGGTGGTGGAGCTAGCCGTGCTAGAGCTGGAGGTGCTGGAGGTACTGGAGCTGCTGGTGCTGGAGGTGCTAGAGCTAAAGGTGTTGGAGGTACTGGGGCTGTTGGTACTGAACGTGCTGGAGCTGCTGGTGCTGGAGGTGCTAGAGCTGGAGGTGCTGGAGGTACTGGAGCTGCTGGTGCTGGAGGTATTGGGGCTGCTGGTACGAGAGGTACTGGGGCAGCTAGTGCTTGAGGTACTGGAGCTGCTGGTGCTGGAGGTGCTAGAGCTGGAGGTGCTGAAGGTACTGGAGCTGCCGGTGCTGGAGATACTGGGGTTGCTAGTGCTGGAGGTACTGGAGCTGCTGGTGCTGGAGGTGCTGGAGCTGGAGGTGCTGGAGGTAATGGAGCTGCAAGTGCTGGAGGTGCTGGAGGTGCTGGAGATGCTGGAGCTGCTGGTGCTGGCAGTGCTAGAGCTGGTGTATCTGGAGGTACTGGAGGTGCTGGAGCTAGAGGTGCTGCTGGAGCTGCTGATGGTACTGGTACTGCGCCGCAACGACCGTTTTTCTACCCGCAGCTGCAGTCGTCCTTACTATCGCCTGACTCGGAACTTCGCCAGGTTCTTACTCTTCCGCTTTCCACTGGCCTTACTCCGCCTCTCGTATGTCCTCCGCCTAACCAGTCACAGCCAAAGTTATTGCCTGGATCACCACTGCCTGCTCCTTCTCCCTACCCTACACAGACAGGCCCCCTAGCAGAGTGTCGTGAGCCTGAGTCTCGTCCTGCCTCCCCTGTTCGCACTGGCAGTCGTGCTCGTCGTTCTCGTCCTCCACCTGTCCCCGGCACGCACAATATGAAACTTCGTCCTTCCTCTGTTCCACAGAGTGTTTCTCTGCCGTCTCCTCTCGCTTCTTCTCTTCGTGACATTCCTGACACTGAGTTCGACCTTGCTCGTGCTGCTAGTCCTACTGTCACTCGTCTCCTCAGTACTATTGTCACTGACCCTTCCTTTGAGTTTATTGCAACGTTTTCCCTAGTCACTGTGCTAGTCAACTTTGCTGCTACTCGTCGTCTCGACTACGTCGCGAGAGCTGTAACTGAGTTTGAGTCTGTCTGTCCTCCGTCCGTCGAGGGGTGAGCTTGCCATTGGCTGTGACGTTTGTGAGGACAGGCAGTTTGAGCTTGAGTGTCTTGCGGCCGTTTTACCCCGTTTCGCGTCCATGAAGCTTTGCCCTGAGGGAGACCCGGATGTACTTGACATCCCTACGCCGCGCTCTTACGCAGGCGATCACGGGTGAGTTACTCCTCTCAGTGGCAGACAGCCATGGACGCCGAGATGGCTTCCTGGAAGTCCGCAGGCACCTATGTCAACAAGGTTCCCCCTCTTGGGGCGAACATAGTCGATGGCATGTGGATTTTCAAGGTGAAGCGGCCGCCGGGTTCTCCGCCTGTCTTCAAGGCGCGTTACGTTGCACGAGGCTTCAGTCAGCGACAGGGGGTCGACTTCTTCCAGACCTACTCCCCAACCCCGAAAATGACCACTCTTCGGGTGTTACTGCACGTTGCAGCACAGCGTGACTACGAGCTCTCACTTGACTTCAGTACAACTTTCTTGCAAGGCAGCCTATACGAGGAGATCTGGTTGCGCCGCCCACCTGGCTTCACTTGGTCATTTCCTGAGGTTACCCAGTAGAGACTCTGGCGGTTAGTCTACGGTCTCTGCCAGGCGCCGCGTGAGTGGCACGACACACTAAGGACGACTCTTTGGTTTGCTCCTTCAACTGATGACCCCTCGCTGTTTCTGCGCATTGATGTTAGAAAGTCTAGGCAAGGATGAATGCATTGAAAGAAGGTTGGGTACAAGTAGAAAGCCCTAGAGGGGTTGTACCCCATATTGCTACCCCACTACAGCCTACACAAGTATAACATATGTAGTTTGACACACCCCCATAGGCAAAGTGGGGGAGAACAAGGGGTCACAAGACCAGTCTAGAGAAGCAAAGCAAGCTCAGGGTGGATCACAACGTCACCACACACTCTGAGCACAAGCAAAGGGCCAGAAGGCCAGTTCACATGCAGAAGTATATATGCAACAAGAACAGCACAGTGATCTCTACCTAGCAAGAGCAAGCATGCAGGTATATATATAGAGATCATATTACAAGCAGAGTCTACAGCAAGTGTGGAAACGTAGGCACAAGGCCTAACAGGGTACAAAAGCGCTGATGATCACCAGACGAAAGCGCCTTGGTGAATATATCAGCAGTGTTGGCCCGGGTGGCCACGTGAGCAAGGCGAAGCTGACCCCGCAACTGCAGCTCTCGAGCCAGGAAGTAACGCAGAGCGATGTGCTTCGTCCTGTGCTCCAGTCTGTGCTCCTCGCACAAGGCAATGGCGGCCTTGTTGTCGACGTACAGCACTGGAGGAGAACGAGGCCGCTCTCCCAGGTCAGTCAGCAGGTAAGTGAGCCAGCGTAACTCCTGTGCAGCCATGGCTGTGGCGTAGATCTTAGCCTCACAACTGGAGCTGAGAACAGAAGACGAGCGAGTAGAACGCCAAGAAACAGAACCAGAGCCAAGGCTGAAAGTGTAACCTTGTGACGACCGCTGTGTAGCCTGGTCGTCAACCCAAGAAGCGTCCGAGTGCCCAGTGAGAACCACGTCTCTCCGCCCTCCAAGCACGAGCCCCATGCCCGACGTACTGCACAAGTAGCGCAGTACCCTCTTCGCAGCATCCCAGTGCACCTTTCGGTGCCGACCAGGAGCCACGTAGCGAGCCAGAAGGCCAAGAGGGTACGCAAGGTCAGGACGAGTGCAGGTCATCAGGTACATGAGGCAGCCCACTAACTCTGGGTAAGGACCACTAGGCTCTACGGACTCGTCCGAAGGTGGAGCTGAGAGCGAGTGACCTGTAGCCAGAGGAGTGGACTATGGCGAGGACCAGGTGAAGCCGAAGCGCTGAAGGACCTGCTGCACCATGTGTGACTGAGTCAGAGTGATGGTGCGACGTGCTCTGTCCCGGGTGATCTGCAAGCCAAGGTAGCTGCGCAGCTCACCCAGGTCTGTGCACGTGTGTCTCTTCTGCAGCTCTGACTTCACCAGGGCAAGAGCCTTCATGTCAGCAGTGGCAAAGACCAAGTCGTCGACGTACACGAGGATGTAGAACGGCGACAGCGAAGTGTCGGTGCGCAGGAACAGCGACGGGTCAGCAGTCGAAGGAGCAAACCCAAGTGCCGCAAGTGTAGTCCTCAGTGTGTCGTGCCACTCACGAGGCGCCTGGCGGAGACCGTAGACTGGCCGCCGGAGGCTCCACTGGGTACCAGGCGGGAACGACCCAGTGAAGCCAGGTGGGCGGCGCAGCCAGATCTCCTCGTGCAGGCTGCCCTGTAAGAAGGCTGTGCTGAAGTCCAGTGAGTGAAGCTCGTAGTCACGCTGAGCGGCAACGTGCAGCAGCACCCGAAGAGTGGTCATCTTCGGGGTGGGGGAGAAGGTCTGGAAGAAGTCAACTCCCTGTTGCTGACTGAAGCCTCGAGCAACGTAACGAGCCTTGAAGACAGGCGGAGAACCTGGCGGCCGCTTCACCCTGAAAATCCACATGCCATCAACGATGTTCGCCCCTGGAGGGGGAACCTCATCGACGTAAGTGCCTGTGGACTTCCAGGATGCCATCTCTGCGTCCATGGATGTCTGCCACTGAGAGGAGTAGGGGCCCGCGATCGCCTCAGCGTAAGAGCACGGGGTCGGGATGTCTATAGCATCCGGGTCTCCCTCAGGGGCAAGCAGCATGGCCACGAGATGAGGCGCAGCGGCCGCAAGACACTCAAGGTCCTCCTGTCTGTCCTCAAGGACGTCCGTGCCAAGAGCACACTCACCCCCGACGGACGGAGGACAGACAGACTCAGACTCAGCAACTAGACCGGCAGCGTAGTCTAGACGACAGGCAGCAGCAAAGTCGACAAGCTCAGCGACCAAGGCAGACGCAGCAGCAGACTCAAAGTACGGGTCGGTGACAACAGTGGCTAACAGACGCGTGACAGTAGGGTGGGCAGCACGAAACTGGTCAGACTCAGGGTCCGGAACGTCAGGTAGAGAGGACGCAGGAGGAGACGGCAGAGGAACAGACTGCGGAGCAGAGAAAGGACGACGGACGACGAGGTGCGCGCTGGGGACAGCCGGCGAACGCGGACGAGGAACACGACGACTGGTACGACCAGAACGAACAGGCGAGACAGGACGCGACGCAGGCTCACGACGCTCAGCAAGACCTCCTGCCTGCTCAGTGTAAGGAGAAGGAGTAGGCAGCGGTGAGCCAGGCTGTAACGAAAGACCAGTAGAAGACGGGAGGCTGAGAACCTGACTAAGCACAGTGCCAGGCGGTGGCTGAGACGACGGAGACGGTGGAGCGAAGAACAGTCGCGGGGGTGCAGTGCCACCAGCACCAGCAGCTCCAGTACCTCCAGCAGCTCCAGAACTCCCAGCGCCAGCACCTCCAGGACCAGCTCCACCAGCAGCAGCACCCCCAGACCCAGGGTCTCCAGCCGCAGTGTCTCCAGCAGTAGCACCCGCAGGCTCAGCACCTCCAGCAGCTCCAGCACCTCCAGTACGAGCACCTCCGGGACCAGCGACTCCAGCACCACCAGTAGACAAAGGACCAGTACCACTCCCAGCTCCAGCAACGTCAGCAGCAGCACCTCCAGTGGCAGAACCCCGAGCTCCAGAAGCGCGACCCTGACGGCGACCGTACCAGTCGTGGAGCTGCTGTGACGTGAGCGGCACACGCGGACGAAGGCGGCTACTCCAAGGAGACCGCGCAACAGTAGACTCAGAACCCTCAGCGCCAGCACCCGCAGCAGCTCCAGAACCTCCAGCGCCAGCACCCGTAGCAGCTCCAGAACCTCCAGCGCCAGCACCCGCAGCAACTCCAGAACCTCCAGCTCTAGCACCACCAGTGCCAGCACCTCCAGCAGCTCCAGAACCTCCAATGTAGGCCAGCACCCGCAGCAGCTCCAGAACCTCCAGCTCCAGCGCCACCATTTCCAGCACCTCCAGCAGCTCCAGAACCTCCAGCAGAAACAACTCCAGTAGCAGAGTCACAAGCTCCAGCGCCTCCAGCAGCAGGGCCCCTAGCTCCAGCAGCGCGACCCTGACGGCCAACGTACCACTCACGCAGCTGCTGTGGGGAGAGAGGGAGTAGACGACGAGAGTGCAGCGGCAAGACACCAGCGGAGCGACTACGGAGACGGCCGCTCCAGGGAGACTGCTCACCAGACGCCTCAGCGCCCCCAGGTGCAGCACCCCTAGACTCAGTACTGTCAAACATTGTATGTTTATATTGTGTAGGCTATAGTGGGTTTAGCCTTAGAGGGTACACAAACTTAGGGTTTCCTACTTGTACCCAACTTCCTGCTAGTTCATTCATTCTCGTTCTATTCTAAGATTCTAACATGGTATCACGAGCCTAGGTTGCTACCTAGGAAAGCTTTCTACAATGGGCCCACTATTCCGCTAGAAGCGCCCTCGTGCGCCCTACCCTACGTGCGCCCTCGTGCGCCTTTCTCTGCTAGTGCGCCTTCGTGCGCCCTCGTGCGCCCTCGTGCGCCCTCGTGCGCCTTCGTGCGCCCTCGTACGCCCTCGTACGCCCTCGTGCGCCCTCGTGCGCCCTCGAGCCGCCCCTGCAGGTCCGTCAGGCCCCCGAGCCGCCTCTGCAGACCCGTCAGGCCCCCCCCGAGCCGCCTCTGCAGGCCCGTCACGCCCGAGAGCCGCCCCTGCAGACCCGTCAGGCCCGCGCGCAGCCTCTGCCCGACCGCGCGCCGCCTCTGCAGGCTCTCGCCGCCCACCGCGTCGCCCTGTCCGCGGCGTCGTCGTCGCCTGCCCGCGGCGTCGTCGCCTGCCCGCGACGCAGCCCCTGCCCGCGGCGTCGTCGCCTGCCCGCGACGCAGCCCCTGCCCGCGGCGTCGTCGCCTGCCCGCGGCGTCGTCGCCTGCCCGCGGCGTCGTCGCCTGCCCGCGGCGTCGTCGCCTGCCCGCGACGCAGCCCCTGCCCGCGGCGTCGTCGCCTGCCCGCGGCGTCGTCACCTGCCCGCGGCGTCGCCACCTGCCCGCCGCGTCGCCCTGCCCGCGGCGTCGCCACCTGCCCGCCGCGTCGCCCTGCCCGCGGCGTCGCCACCTGCCCGTGGAGCCGCCCCTGGAGCCGCCCGCCACTGCAGTAGCAGCCCCTGGAGCCGCCCGCCACTACAGCAGCCGCCCCTGGAGCCGCCCGCCACTGCAGCAGCAGCCCCTGGAGCCGCCCGCCACTGCAGCAGCAGCCCCTGGAGCCGCCCGCCACTGCAGCAGCAGCCCCTGGAGCCGCCCGCCACTGCAGCAGCCGCCCCTGGAACGCCACTGTAGCAGCCGCCCCTGGAGCCGCCCGCCACTGCAGCAGCCGCCCCTGGAGCAGCCCGCACCTGCAGCAGCCGCCCCTGGAGCAGCCTGCACCTGCAGCAGCCGCCCCTGGAGCAGCCCGCACCTGCAGCAGCCGCCCCAGGCACCTGGAGCAGCTGCCGTCGTGGCCCGGCCTCGCCCTGCAGCAGCTGCCGCGGAGCTCCCTGCTGCGGCCCGGCCCCGCCCTGCAGTTGTAGCGGCCCCGCGGTCGCCACCGTCTTGCGCCTGCCGCGCCGACCACTGGTGAGCATTGCCCTGCCAGCACTGCTACTGCTGCTACTGCCTTTTCTACTCCCACTGCTACTGCTCCTGCTGCTACTGCTGCTACTGCTGCTACTGCTGCTACTGCTGCTCCTGGCGAGGCCAGATGCAGCTCCAGGGCCGTGCGCGTGAGTCCCTCACGCCCCAGCAGCTTCGTGAGTGGTACGCTAGTTGGGGCTGTCGGGGTGGCCGTAGTGGTAGTCGCTCTGGAGTGGGTCGGTCGGGAGCTTCTGGTAGTGGACAGGTGCAGCTGCAGTGTCCTCTTTCACCCCAGCAGCTTCGTGAGTGGTACGCCAGTTGGGGCTGTCGGGGTGGCCGTAGTGGTAGTCGCTCTGGAGTGGGTCGGTCGGGAGCTTCTGGTGATGGACAGGTGCAGCTGCCGTGTCCTGTGAGTGAGGCTGCCGCTCTAGGTGCTAGTGCGGCTGCTACCCCAGGTGCTGGTGAGGCTGCTGCTCTAGGTGCTAGTGAGTCTGCGCCCCCTGGTACTGAGTCGACTGGTGCACTGCACACCTTCACTCTGGACTCAGGTGCTTCTCGCTGTTTCTTTCGTGACCGCACTGCCCTTGAGCCGCTTGCTCGGCCAGTTGCTGTCTCCCTCGCTGACCCCTCTGGGGGTCCGGTCATTGCGACCTCCTCCACTGTCCTTCCTTGTCCTGCGGTCCCGTCGGGCACACTGTCAGGTCTCCACCTCCCCTCGTTCTCTACGAACTTGGTGGCGGGTTGTGCGCTCCAGGACGGAGGTGTTCACCAGTTCACCCCTGCCTACGAGCGCGTGACACACTGCACGTGTGCTCGGACGGGCCGTCACCTGGCTACCTTCACTCGGCAGCCGGGGTCGGACCTGTACACACTGACCACTGAGTCCCCTTAGGTAGCTGCGTCTGCGTCTGCGTCAGGTCAGCTGTCGGCCCCCTGCTCGTGTCACTCTCTGGCGCATGAGACCGTCCTCTGGCACCACCGCCTTGGCCACCCGTCTGTGCAGCGCCTTCGTGCCATGCACTCCCGGTACCTTGTCTCTGGTCTTCCCAGGGTCCTCCCTCCCCTCCCACCCTCGCCTGCTCCTCCCTGTCTTCCCTGTGTCGAGGGGCGGCAGCGCGCCGCTCCTCACTCCTCCTCGTTTCCCCCGACGACTGCTCCCTTGCAGACGCTCCACATGGACGTGTGGGGCCCAGCCCGCGTCCGTGGTCAGGGTCAGGAGAGGTACTTCCTGATAGTTGTTGACGACTACTCGCGCTACACCACGGTCTTCCCCTTGCGCACCAAGGGTGAGGTCCCTGATGTTTTGATCCCTTGGATCCGCAGAGCCCGTCTCCAGCTCAGCGAGCGTTTCCACTCGGACTTTCCTGTCCTGCGCTTGCACTCTGACAGAGGTGGTGAGTTCTCCTCCGACCTCTTGGCAGCCTACTGTGCTGAGCACGGCATTGAGCAGTCGTTCACGCTTCCGGCCTCTCCACAGCAGAATGGGGTTGCGGAGCGCCGCATTGGCCTAGTCATGGAGGTCGCCCGTACCTCCTTGATCCATGCGGCTGCCCCCCACTTTCTGTGGCCGTTTGCGGTCCGGTACGCTGCGCATCAGCTCAACCTCTGGCCCCGTGTCTCCTTGCCGGAGACCTCGCCCACACTGCTGTGGACGGGGGAGGTTGGCGATGCGTCGCGTTTCCGGGTCTGGGGATCTCGAGCTTTTGTCCGCGATACGTCCGCGGACAAGCTCTCCTCCCGCGCTGTTCCCTGTGTCTTCCTTGGCTTTGTCCCGGACGCGCCTGGTTGGCAGTTTTACCACCCCACCTCGCGCCGGGTCCTGCCCTCTCAGGACGTCACTTTTGACGAGTCCGTCCCCTACTACCGCCTCTTCCCCTACCGCACTGCCCCGCTCCCCCCCCCGCCTCTCTTCCTCGCGCCAGGTGCTGCTGTGGTAGACCCCCTCCCCCCTCAGGGTGCCGCTCCCTCAGGTGTGTCCCAGGTAGACCCGGTTGAGCCTGTTGAGGTAGCTGTTGACTCTCGTCCTGCTGCGGGTGCGGAGCCTGGGGGTGCGGAGCCTGAGGGTGCGGAGCCTGGGGGTGCGGAGCCTGGGGGTGCGGAGCCTGGGAGTGCTGAGCTTGAGGGTACTGAGCCTGGGAGTGCTGAGCCGCGGAGTCCGGAGTCTTGGGGTTCTGAGTCTGGGGGTGCTGAGCCTGGGAGTCCTACACCTGGAGGAGCTCTCTCCACGTGTGGAGCAGCTGCGTGAGTGGTACTCACAGTACTGCAGCCTCCGGAGAGGTGCCTCTGGAGCCAGGAGTACTACTGGGACTGGTGCTGGTGCCTCCCCTCCTCAGCGGGAGCTGCCCTCTCTTGAGCGGATCCGTGAGTGGTACGAGCGGCGCTGCACTCTCCGGAGTGGCACGCCTCGTGTCGCGGACCCTAGTGCTGGAGTTGCTGGAGGTGCTGCTGCTAGCGCTGCTGGTGCTGGAGCTACTGGTGGTGCTGCTGCTGGTGCTGGAGGCTCTACTGGTGCTGCTGGTGCTGCGGACCCTGGAGTTGGAGCTGCTGCTGGTGCTGCGGACCCTGGAGTTGGAGCTGCTGCTAGTCCTGAGGACCCTGGTGCTGGAGCTCCTGCTGGTGCTGCGGACCCTGGAGTTGGAGCCGCTGCTGGTGCTGCGGACCCTGGAGTTGGAGCTGCTGCTAGTCCTGAGGACCCTGGTGCTGGAGCTCCTGCTGGTGCTGCGGACCCTGGAGTTGGAGCCGCTGCTGGTGCTGCGGACCCTGGAGTTGGAGCTGCTGCTGGTGCTGCGGACCCTGACGTTGGAGCTGCTGCTGGTGCTGCGGACCCTGGAGTTGGGGCTACTTCTGGTGCTGAGGACCCTGGAGCTGGCGCTGCTGGAGCTGCTGCGGGTGCTGGTGGTGTCTCTACTGGTTCTGGAGTCGCTGCGCGGCCCCGGCCCGCTCCTTCAGCAGGTTCTTGGTCAGGCTCCTCCTCCTTGTCCTGCTCCCTCCTTAGAGTGTCCTCCGCCTGTCCAGTCACCGTCACAGTTACCGCCTGCCTCGCCGCTCCCTGGTCCTTCTCCTTACACTGGTCCCACAGGAGGTCTTACGGAGCGTCGTGAGCCTGCGTCTCGTCCTGTGTCGCCTGCGTCTCGCTCTACGTCGCCTGTTCGTGCTGCTCGCACTGGTCGTCGTGTCCCCCGTGAGCGTCCTCCTCCTGTCCCTGGCACTCACTACATGACTCTGCGTCCCTCCACTGCTCCTCAGCGTGTCCCTCTGCCGTCTCCTCCTGCGTCCTCTCTTCCTACTCTTGCTGACCCGGAGTCTGACTCCCTTCGTGCTGCCCGTCCTACTGTCACGCGTCTCCTCGCTACTGTTGTCACTGACCCTACCTTT